GACAGTCACTGGACAATCAAAGTTCCCAGGATTTCTTCCAACCGATACTTTCCTCTCTTACATCATTCCAGCTAAATGCAGGGGTAAAAGCTTTATGAAAATTATCCCATAGCTATTAGTGATAGTACAAGGATATTTTTTAGAAATTTGCATATTTTAAATGACCGTAACTCGAAAATTTGAGCTTGGAATCAACTCAAACTTTCTACACAGCATAAGGACATCAATATGTCTCAAAAAATGTAATAAAAATTGGGGGTGATTTCGGAGCCATTTTTTGGAAAAAACCATGGGCTATAGTACAGGGAAATTTTCAGAAATTGGCTCATTTTTTAAAATGGCCGTAACTCGAAAATTTTACTTCGGAATCAGCTCAAACTTTCTACATAGCTTAAAGACATCAATATGTATCAAAAAATGTAATAAAAATTGGGGGTGATTTCGGAGCCATTTTTTGGAAAAAACCATGGGCTATAGTACAGGGAAATTTTCAGAAATTGGCTCGTTTTTTAAAATGGCCTTAACTCGAAAATTTCACTTCAGAATTAGCTCAAACTTTCTACATAGCTTAAAGACATCAATATGTATCAAAAAATGTAATAAAAATTTGAGGTGATTTCGGAGCCATTTTTTGAAAAAAAAACCATATAATAGATTGCTTTACTTTCAATTGCTACCATTTACATTGTAATCTTACTATTACTGTTACTATAGTATAATTGCATCACCCCATGTCTGCATCCACTATAGAGTCCCATGTTGTTCGATGCTTTCCTCCCGATAACACAGAGTACTGTCATTTCTACTCGTTGGAAACTCTACTGCATGGGATGTACACTGAAACTCTTAATATACATCCTTCTACAAGAGAAATGCTTGCAACACTTGACAAGTACAACAATGATAGATTCATTATATCCTTTTATGCTCTTATTTTATTGTTTATTAGTTGGTTAGGGGAGAGACACTCTCAAGTTAATGCTATCAATCAGTTATTCCAACCTCCAGTTGCTCAAAGAACCATCTATGCAGTAGCCAATCCATTGCATAGTGAAAACAGGTGAGAGAGGAAGGAAGTGTTTTTTTTAATAATACTAATATCATTATAGTGAGTCATTTGGAAAATATTGGAAGAAATTTGAAGAAGAGAAAGTCGACAAATTTGTTGATAACCCTTTATTTGGTTCTGGTTTGAAATTTAAGGACACGGTAAGATTCTATTTGACCACCATCTTGTAAACATTCCCCTCCCCCATATTGCAGCCTGAAATATACATAGTGAATAAGTACTTTGGTATGGGAGTTCCAGATTATGAATACATAGGAATGAGAAGTCAACACCGGCCATC